TGTTGTGATGTTCTGAATTGATTAAACTTTTTATTATCCGGTGTTTATTTCATCGGATTTGTGTTGTGATGTTGTGTATTTTTTGGATTTGTGTTGTGAAAATTTTGAGAAAATCAATGTGGATTTGTGTATTTTTAGATTTTTGTTGTGAAAATCAATATATACAATGTGAATAATATTTTTTGTGAAAATTTTGATCAAATAATACTGTATATGATGATAGAGGCATGTGCATGTTTTTGTGCATGTTTTGCCTCTGCCCAGCAAATCCACGGGACTGGTAGTCCTGTCGGTTTGCTAGGCAGAAGCACAAAAGTCTTTGCTTAATGCACGGGACTAGTAGTCTCGTACATTAAGTAGAGACTTATTTGCCTACGCCCAGCAAACCCATGGGACTGTAGGATCTGATCCAATCATAATAAAACACTAGAGGGGGGAGTGAATAGTATTCTTTTAAAAATTAATGCAAAGAAGATTATAATTTGCAAAGAAATAGCACAATCACAGAAAATAACAATCATAAACACATAATTTTATACTGGTTCCACCTCTCAGGTGTACATCCAGTCACCAAGCAAATCACGCTTGAAAGTTTTACTATGATTTTGAAAAAATTACAAAATCAAAACATCAAACCTGACCAATTTGTAAGTCCCTACAAATTGCACTCAATCTCTTCACCAAGAGATTACACCTCTCACACCCGCGAGAACACTTGTCTTAATACAACTTGATTCCTATAAGCCTTGATAGTATTGTGATGTGTAGCAGTGGCTAGGAATATTTTGAATCTCTGAAAATTACTTAACTTGATTGTATATTGAATGAGGATCAAAGGCAAAATCAGAAAATGATTTTTCTCAACACTTAGTGAAAATCTGGAAAAAATTTCTTTTAAAAGATGCACAAAACTTGAACCTTATGTATATAAATTCGTGACCCAAAATTCTGAACATGTATCATATTTATAGCCTTTAAAAGATAGGTTTTCAAACCCTAAAAACGTACACAAAACGGCTATAAGCTATCATTAATTTGAATTCTGAAATGTCAGAAAAACTGTCTTAGTAGTCGACTAATTGTTGTTGTAGTCAACTACTCAGAGTTCAATAAACTTCAGAAAACTCAGAATTTTCCTTAGTAGTCGACTATTATTGTTATTAGTCGACTACTCTGTAAAACACAAAATCTGGATCTTGTAGACCCATTTGTTTCCAATGGTCTTTTTTCCTTGTGGAAGTGACACAAGTTCTCAAGTCTTGTTCTTATGGAAAGCTTTAATTTCTTCTTGTATTGCTGCCATCCACAAAGATGCATCTATACTATTTATAGCTTCATGAAAAGTTGATGGCTCTCCATCTTCTGTTAGAAGACAGTATGCAACATTACTCTCTGTAATATACTCCGAGTGCCAAGTCGGTGGTCTTCTCTCACGAGTTAACCTTCGAATATCTGGAGCCTTGGACTCGAGCGGTTCTTGTACACCATGTTTCGGTGTTGCTTCAGAAGAATTCAGATCATCTTCTACTGAACAGCTACAGTCTCTGAGTCCTTCCTCGAACTTCTTTCTTTTTTTCACTTTATACTTGGTTCTCTACAAAGATAACATCTCTGCTGATGATAACCTTGCGGGTAGTGGGATCCCACAGGCGATACCCCTTTACTCCATCAGCATACCCCAATAATAAGCATTTTCTGGATTTTGAATTCAGCTTTGTAATTTCTTGGGCATTGTACATTACGTACACTGGACTTCTAAATATTTAGAATAATCAGCTGTCTTGCCAGTCCACATCTCCATCGGTGTCTTCAACTGTATTGCGGATGATAAATATCGATTCACCACATAACAGGCGGTTTTTACTGCTTCCGCCCAAAAGACTTTATCTAGATTTGTAGTTGCCAACATACAATGATCAGATGGAGCGATATCATGCTAGATTGGTGGTAAAAGGATATGCTCAGAAAGAAAGTATTGACTTTAATGAAATATTTTCTCCTGTAGTTTGACTTACAACAGTCTGAATTGTCCTGGCTATAAGCACTATGTTTGACTTACATCTAGAGCAGCTAGACGTGAAAACATCATTTCTTCATGGAGATCTCGAAGAAGAAAATTACATGCTCCAACCAGAAGGTTTTGAAGAAAAAGGAACAGATGACTTGGTTTGTAGATTGAATAAATCTCTGTACGGTCTAAAGCAGGCACCGATGTGTTAGTACAAGAGATTTGATTCATTCATCCTGAGTCTTAGATACAACAGACTTAATTCAGACCCTTGTGCATATTTTAAGAGGTTTGGTAAAAATAACTTTGTTAACTTATTGTTGTATGTCGACGACATGTTGGTTGCAGGCCCCAACAAAGATCGTATCCAAGAATTAAAGGCCCAGTTGGCTAGGAAGTTTGAAATGAAGGATTTAGGATTTACAAACAAGATTCTAGGGATGCAAATTTACCGAGACAGAGTTAATAGGAAGATTTGGCTTTCTCAGAAGAACTATTTGAATAAAATCTTACGGCGCTTTAACATACAAGATTGTAAGTCAAGTTCTACCCCACTTCCTATTAATTTTAAGTTATCCTCTAGTATGAGTCCTAGCAGTGAAGAAGAGAGGATGGAGATGTCTTGAATGCCATATGCATCAGTAGTGGGAAGCTTAATGTTTGCTATGATTTGTATAAGACCAGACATTGCACAAGCAGTGGAAGTGGTTAGTCGATACATGGAGAATCCTGATAAAAAGCATTAGAATGTTGTAAAGAGGATTCTAAGATACATTCAATGAACCTCAAATGTTACATTATGTTATGGAGGATCTAATTTTATTATCAGTGGATATGTTGATTCTGATTATGCAGGTGATCATGATAATAGCAAATCCACCACAGGCTATGTGTTTGCACTTACTGGCGGAGCTGTAAGTTGGGTTTCAAAACTACAGTCAGTTGTGGCTACTTCAATAACAGAAGCAGAATATGTAGCAGCTACACAAGCTAGTAAAGAAGCGATGTGGTTGAAGATGGTGCTGGGGGAACTCGGCCATAAACAAAAGAAGATATCTTTATTTTATGACAGTCAGAGTGCTTTGCATTTGGCAAGAAATCCAGCCTTTCATTCAAAGACCAAACACATTCGAGTTCAGTATCACTTTGTTCGTGAGAAAGTGGAAGAATGAACAGTGGATATGCAGAAAATTCACACCAAAGACAACCTAGCAGATTTTTTGACAAAAGCAGTCCATACTGACAATTTTATTCTGTATCGATCCTCTTGTGGTCTGTCAGTGACGTAAAGCAACATGAAGATGGCAAGATAGGAAGAATGATGTGAAGATATGATTGATACTCAATCAATTCTTCAAGTGGGAGATTGTCAGGCAGCCGTCCATGTTTCTTTGACAAATGAATCCACTAGACCAAAAATGTTGAAAAGAAGGAAAAGAAAACAAAAGAGCGAGCCTCACAGCATAGTAAATTTATTATTATTTTATTATGCATAGTATTTTTTAAAATACTATAAATAGGCACCAAATCCGTAAGGAAAAACTCATTCCAGAAACAACTTCTCTTATAGAAGTGTGAGAGAGAAAAAATAGAAAGAGAGTATCTCCTTGTAAAAAGAGATTGTAACTCCAGAGTTTTCTCCTCATAGTGGATTCTTCTATCCTTGCCCGTGGACGTAGGTAATTTTATGCCGAACCACGTAAATCTGTGTGTCTATCATTTTATCTCTACTTTTGCTCTACTATTGCTGCAACCCTGCTCTATTGGGCCCCGGGTTTGTCCCAACAAATACTTCCTCAGAGTTTTGTGGAATCCCTAAATACGACGTACAAAATAATCATCAATAACGTCATCCCACTAATTATAATACATAACACATATCAAATCATTTAATGCCACTATAGTATAACAACAAATTAGTACCTCAATTGCTATAGCTTTAGCACGAATTTTTTTACAACTAGGTCGGATCATGACTGATCCACACAGAGACAAAAAGAGCAATTATGATTGCTCCCCTTATGCATCGTGTAGGTATGTTGGTAATATTAAATAGTGATGCTAAGATGGAGATTAGATAAAGGTAAAACCTAGATTTGTTTATCTACCTTTCCTCCCAGGTACGCACCTAATGCCCTCTCGAAGTCGATGCTTCGGTCTTCTCCTTCTCTTTTCTTTTCTTTTTTTTGGTGCGGCGAGACAGTGACGGGAAAACAAAAAACAAAAAGAACAGACGACAAAGAGGTATGTTGGGGTATGGTTTTAGATATTTAAGATGTAATTTACTGATAGAACCCTTTTAACATTTTAAAAATTCTTTTACTTATATATATATATATATATAGAGAGAGAGAGAGAGATTAATGGGTATCCTTGTCATAGGAGGGGATTTCCTCCTATGACGTCTCTAAAATCACATGATTGAGCGACATTGTGGATGATCCGCTCCGTTAAACTTGATCTACATATTCTAAAACCCCAACACACCAAGTTTGGGGTGAATCCGTCGTCGTTTGACTTTCCATCGAGCCATGTGAAAAGTTTTATTCATTCAAAACCGTTAAAATTGATACGAGTGGATGAAGGGTCAAACGATGACGGATTCAACCCAAATTTGGTGTGTTGGGGTTTTAGAATATGTAGATCAAGTTCAACGGAGCGGATCATCCATAATGTCGCTCAATCATGTGATTTTAGAGGCGTCATAGAAGGAAATCCCCTCCTATGACAATGATACCCATTAATCTCATATATATATATATATATATATATAGCGAGAGGGGGAAAGTATGGTTTTGCCCTCGTGCAGACGGAGAGTGGAAAGCGGAAGGAAGAGGGAGGTGCATCCCTGTGAGGGGACTCACGGTGGAGATTTCGGTGGGTCCTGAGGAGGTGCGCATTTTCCAAGGGAGATCGATGCCATCTAGTTATAAGCAAACAAATAATATCTCGGTATCTATATATAGAAAGAGATGAGGATTGTGTTAATCTTTTGAGCACTGTACAATACCAATAACGATATATAAGAACTTGGAATTATTACAAGTGGAAAGATGGAGAAGCCGACCCTTGAATCTCCTCTCATCCAAAGCTCTGTCATTGAGATCTTTGTCTCCATTAATGGAGAGGGCATGGTTTTTGAGACCAAGAAGCAGCTGTGGCTGGCAGCCTCTTATTGCATCCAGCCTCCTTCAGTACAGCCTGCAGTTTATCTCAGTCATGTTTGTGGGTCATCTTGGTGAGCTTGCTCTTTCTGGTGCCTCCATGGCCACATCCTTTGCCGGGGTGACCGGCTTCAGCTTGATGGTACTGAAATTACTTCCTCAAATTAATCTTTTATTTTTTAAGAAAATAAGGGCAAATATGTGTTTGGATATTGCGTTTGGAGGGCAAATATGGTTAGTGATATCTTGTTATGAGACTGTCTGAAATTTAGTTGTGATTTTCGGGAAAATATGGTCACACTCAATAGACTTATCTTGATGGTTTCATCAGTGTTGGGAGAAACCTATTTGAGATAGATATATAAACATTCACCTCATGCTCGTGTGTTTTACAAGTGGGAGAAAAAAAAATCTACCGATTTTGAAATTCTAACTTTTTTGGGGAAAACTGTAGTGTTCTATGATGAACTTATTTGATGGCTTGTTAGAGGTATTACATCAGGTTTGCTCATAGCTAGCAATTTAAAAGGCAGACGTAAAATATCGTTATTGGTATTGTACAGTGCTCAAAAGATTGATAATTCTTGCAAACTTGTGTATGGTTTTTGAGAAAATAAGGTCACTTTCTTACAGACTGATCTTGCTGGTTTCATCACCTCTTGCAGAAACCCATAAAAAAAACACATTCACCTCATATATTTTCGTTGTTAAATCTTCAAAGTGAAAAGAATTTGGTTATTTCGAACACATACCACTTCTAGGAAAAGATAAGTTTTTTTTATGATGAACTTTGATGGTTTGTTGAGAGGTATTATATCAGGTCTACTCATTACGTTTTGCAGGTCATGTCATGGACATCTGTATCCTACTATGAGACCATCGGATCTTTTTAGTAAATAAGGTCGCTCATATAAAGATTTATCCTGTTAGTTTCATTGGAATTGAAGGAACCTAATATAAAAATATATGCAAAGATTCACCACATATCGTTTGTTAAGTCCTAGAAATGTCAATAAAATAATCATTTTGAACGAGAGCTGTTTATGATTTTCTCAAAAATAATGAGTTTTTTTATGATGAACTTTAATTGTTCATTAGTGGTATTACATCATGTATGTTTGTTACATTTTACAAGGAAGCTATGGACATTGGTATCCTGTTGTGACTGTCAGAAATCGGTAGGTCGTGTTGAGTATGATTTTTTGAGAAAATAAGGTGGGTCACTGATAGACTTAGCTTGTTGCATCAGTAAACAAACACACAAACATTCACCTCATATCGTTCGCTAAGTCCTAGAAGTGGAAATAATTTGATTATTTTGAATATGTACTTCTGAGGAGAAAAAGTATGGGATTTTTATGGTGAACTTTGATGGTTTATTGAGAGGTTGTACATCAGGTATACTCATTGCAGATTACCAGGTAGATACTGGTAACATTATCCTGGTGTGAGACCATCAGAAATCGATAAGTTATGTATTATTTTGGGAAAATAAGTCCACTCTCCCAAAGACTTATCTTACTGATTTCATCACTATTTAAGAATTTTAGAAAAATTATGCAAAAATCAAAGTCATATTATTTGTTTTAGTCTTAGAAGTGAAAATAATTTGATTATCTTGAGCATGTACCTCTTTGAGGTGAAAAAAAATATTAAGCCTAGGCCTATTGGCGTTGAACTTATTGAGAGTTATTACATCTGGTCTACTCGTTGCATTTTACAAGCCAGATACACGTATTTGTTTCCTGTTTGAAACCTTCAGAAATCGCTGAGTCATCCTAAGCTATGTATGATTGTTGAGAAAAAAATAAAATCATCTCCCAAAGACTTATCTTATTGGTTTCATTAGTATGGAACAAGCCCATTTAGTAAAACAAGTATACATTCACCTCATGTTGTTTGGTAAGTCCTAGAAGTGGCACGAATTTAATCGGTGTATACTATGCTGAGGGTTGGAACATGCTTCACAAGTGAAAATTATTTGGGTATTCATCGCAAAAATATCCTCTTTGGATCAAATGGGTTCATGTTTTCTTGAAATGTCTTGTTATCTGGCATGTTAACATGCTAAAAATGGGGATTCTTGGCAATCGAAGAGGATAATCAAAAGCAGAATTGAGGTGATATCATTGTGGGTTCTATAATACAGGTTTCAGCTTATATGAGATGATCATGCACCAGTTTCTTTGTCCTCAGTGGTCCAGAAACCCTCTAAATGTGCATAAGCAGTGCTTGACAGCACGGACAGCAGTTGCTTAAGGCTGTTGACACAGGATAGAGTAGAGAAATGAGGATTATACATCAAAATGCATTTTTGTCAGTCACAACCTGAAAATATTGGATGCTTGGTGTTTAACTATGATTTTTTTACCAGAGTTTGGAGAGAGATTGTCCAGGAGATTAAGAAAGAAAAGTTTACTAGAGTTTATCATGCTAATATCCGCTCTTATTGTGTTTTGTATTTGGAGTAGGTGTTTGATGTAAACTCAGGCATGCCTGGGTGTTACGTATACTTTAGTGCCATGGGAATAAAAATTTATTCACTTACCAAAACAAATTACTGTTTTTAGTTCGTAATTTATCTATAATTTTCGCATTTTACTTGGCCGTGAAAAGTTAAAGAAGAATTTTCTTTAGTCTTTTAAGTCTCTCATTTTGTTAGAATTAGCCGTTGCAATTTCATTTTGTTTCATAAATTTTAAGCACATAGGATATCTATGTAACTGGCATTTTAAAAGGTTCATTTCCTTGTATAAGTTTGTTAGCTGTTAAGTATTGTTGAAAATCTTAAATTCTCAATGATACACCTATGTAATTATGTTCTCTTATTCTCTCTAGAAATTTCATAGCCTTTTTCGTTGTGCAACTTGAAACTTTGTATATTTAACATATATATTTGTGTGTATAATTTGTGATTGTAGTTAAAATACAGGAGCATCAATATCTATTTTTACTATTTACTTTTCAAAATGTTCATCTCTTACAAAACATAAAAAATTTCAATTTGGAATTTCCTATGTTTCATGGAAGTAATAGATATAAGTGGTCAATATCTTTGTTTTTAATTATGAAATATTGGCCTTGTTCCTTTTCTACTGACAGTTGGGCATGGGAAGTGCATTGGAGACATTATGTGGACAATCATTTGGAGCAAAACAACACTATATGCTTGGCATACATATGCAAAGGGCAATGCTTGTTCTTATGACTGTGGCTGTCCCTGTATGTATAATTTGGGCCTATACCGGTCAAATACTTACAGCCTTTGGCCAAGATCCAGAGATCTCTGCAGAAGCAGGATTATATGCTCGATGGATGATTCCATCAGTTTTTGCTTATGGTCTCCTTCAATGTCTCATAAGATTTTTGCAGACCCAAAACATTGTCTTTCCAACGATGCTAAGTTCTGGTCTCACTACTTTGCTTCATATTTTAGTATGCTGGCTTCTAGTGTTCAAATCTGGCCTAGGGAACAAAGGTGCCGCTTTGGCAAATGCTATCTCATACTGGGTCAACGTGTTGCTATTGGTACTTTATGTCAAGTTTTCTCCTTCTTGTGAAAGAACTTGGACTGGTTTTTCAGTAGAGGCTTTCCATGATGTTCTCAGCTTCATAAAGCTAGCTATTCCATCGGCCGCTATGGTGTGGTAATCACCATTTTTCATTTTGATACAAATATGCACAATTTATTAATTTAATGATGATATTTAATTTTTTTTTTATATATTTTGTTGCAGCTTGGAATTTTGGTCATTTGAGTTCCTTGTGCTTCTCTCCGGTCTTCTTCCTCATCCACAGCTAGAGACATCTGTATTATCCATCACGTAAGATTTCATTTTCATTTTTAAAATTGTGGATATAAATTTGATTTTTTTTTATTTTTAATTTTTATTTTTACATTTCTTCACACATACTAAGTGTCTTTTATCTCTTCAGCCTTAACACTGCTGCAATGCTATTCATGATCCCCTATGGTCTTGGTGGTGCAGTAAGGTATGCTAAACTATATTGGCTAAATTACAAGAAATCCCTTTCGCCTATGTCCTGTTTTTTAAAAACTCCCCATCTAAAAAATTTGACTAATAACCTCCTCATCTATGACCATCAATGAAATCTATAGTTTTCTAATGGAATTTGATTATTCACACATCCAGACAGACATGTCCAAGTCAAAATTCTAGGTTAGTGGTTAAAAGTTTTAAAAAAAAATTCACTTTGTTTGAAAACTTAACTTTTTCCTCTGTTACCATGTTTTTTTCACTTTGGTAGACGTGTTCTAGATGTCTACGACAGTGCAAACCTATACCCAAATGTTTGAAGAACAAAATTCCATTACAAAATGATTTTTTTAACTTTATAGATGAGAGGGATCTTCAAAAACATGGTATAGATGAATGATGTTTCTTGTAATTTATCCAACCCTATAACTAAACTTATGATGCATAGTTTGAATTTCCACTAGTTCTTATATGCATGTTTTGTAGTACACGAGTTTCAAATGAACTTGGTGCTGGTCGACCTCAGGCAGCCCGCTTAGCAGTAAAAGTTGTAGTTTTATTGGCCATTGCTGAAGCCTTAATAGTTGGGTTGACCGTAGTCTTGATCCGTAACATTTGCGGATATGCATATAGCAACGAAGAGGAAGTGGTGAAGTACGTGGCAACTATGATGCCGATACTTGCATTATCTAACATTATGGATGGAGTTCAATGTGTACTTTCAGGTTTGAAATTTGTTAAGATTTACTTTTTGAAATATTGGATTCATTAAATTTTCTATCATGGTCTTTATATTTTACTAGATAATGTTGTTTAGGCACTGCTAGAGGATGTGGTTGGCAGAAAATCGGTGCGTTTGTTAACCTTGGAGCTTATTACATTGTGGGCATTCCTTGTGCAATTCTTCTGGCTTTTTTCTTCCATGTCGGAGGAAAGGTGAAATATTCTTCTTTATCTACTGAATGAAGCTTATACCAGATATACTTTCATCTGGTTACAGATTTATGGATGTTGATATTTGATATGCAGGGCCTTTTGGTAGGAATTATATTCGGCTTGATTGTGCAAGTCTTGTTGCTTTTAACCATTACATTATACACTGACTGGGAGAAAGAAGTAAGCACTTTTGTGAATCTTATCTACAACTTTTTATTGAATATTTCTTCTCCAAAAAAAAATTTATTGAATATTTATTTAATGTGAAGTAATTAGGCCCATATGGGTTATAATAGTTTGACCTTATGTTTGCATAGAAATATGAGTTTTTCTTAATTTCAGATGTACTCGTCAACGGGAGCTGGTCTTTTCTATTATAAAGATTAAGATTAATCACCAAGTACAAAGTTCGTTTGCTGAAATACTCAACATTAGTTTCATAAACATATAAACTCTGTGATGGATCAATGAGACTTTTTAAGCCTTGATAGCATTTCTCCTCGTATATTTATCTTTTTAGGTTCTCATATACGGGTTTAATCACACCATACTGCCTGACATTACAAAGGCATATAGACCAAATCAAGTTATATTTATAATGTTAAAGCTATAGATCAAAATTGCTTGAATGCAAAAAAGGAAACATGACAATCCAAAGTATGATATGCTTTGTCACAAATTGCAATCAAATTAGAGGAAGAAGGCTCTCACAGGGAGGAAAGATCTATGGAAACGCATTCACATTGTAGAGTTCAAAACTTATATACGAGCTTTCTACTTGAAGCATTGGTTATTCAAGGTTTCCTTGTTGAACATTTGAAGAGATTGAAAGATTTTGGAATGAGCAAAAGATGACATGAAAATATCCTTCTACAAAATCAACAACAGATTTTATCCCAAATTTTTGGGGTACACTACATGAATCTTATTCTTCCATTTTTTTCCATTTTGGGTCGTCTCCTCCTTTAAGATAATAACTATTGTCATATCCTTGTTAATTTTCTTCTATTGGTCAGAACTTTCGCTGATGGGAATATCAAACAATTCTTCTGCTGACTAGTTTCCATCAGGTTGGATACATAAGTTGTTAGTATTTGAGAATCTTTTTTTAAGTTGTCTGGTTTTGGTGTGTTAGGATTGTTTACCCTCTCTTTGTTATAAAACTGTACTAGTTGTCAATTATCTAAACAAACTGCTTTACCCTTTTCCTTTAGTAGTCACATGTTTCTGGAATACATTTAATTCTGATATTCGATGACCTGCTCTCGCGTCATCTTTGACTGTATATAGTTATTATGTTAGTTTCAACACTTATCTTTAACATAAATAAAGGAGTGTCTCTATACAGGTCTAGGACTTCTTTCAATTGAGTTTATGTTGAGAATTTACTATCCCAACTTCATAATGAATTCACAACTTCAATAGTATCAATAAACTGTAAATGAGATACGTTTTGCTGATAAGAATGATTTTCTAGTTTGTTTGTCATAATCCTCACCGAGTACCAAATGTTCATTCGTTTCAACATCTGCACTTTGTTAAGTTCTAGCATCAATGGATCATTTCTGAAACTCGTAACTGCCAATTTTTACTCTCCAATTGCTAGCTATCTATGATAAATCTCATGTGATTCTTTGTTTTTTCAGGCAATAAAGGCCAGGAACAGAGTTCACGGTTCTACCATTCCTGAAGACATGGCATCATGAGTTATACATGATATATCACCATGTACAAAATTTGTTTGCTGAACTAATCACCACTAATTTCATAAACATCTGTACTGTAACTGCTTGATGAATAAATAAATAAATATTTTAGTCCTTTTCCATGAATACATTTAAGTTTCCACCCTTTTCTTACACATGCTTTTCTTCTTGCAGGCAATGAGGGCTCAAGACCGAGTTTTTACGACGCTGGCATGATTTTTGAAGCAACAGATTGATGCACGCCTAACCGGTCCAATTGTACCATTCAATTTTGCTTAGTTTTGTATCCTTTTTTGAGTTGAAAGAAACCCATTTTGTATGATTCTGTATTAAGTAAAATAAATAAATATATCTACAGCTAGATTTACAGCAAATCTATGCTCTTGTGATCATAACTGAGATCATACAATCCAGCATCTTTGCAGTCAATGAGCATAGATTTAACGTGACCTTTTGCTTTTAAATCATTGCATCCCTCACATTAAAAAAAAAAAGAAAAAAATCATTGCATTCATTGGGATCTAATTTCAATTTAAACCTCTTTAATTGTTGAATACAGTTATTAAAGAATTGGCTGACCAGGAAAAGCCAGCAGCTCAATAGAAAGAATCGATAGAGGGGTGTCCAAACCGGCCACCGACCTGGACTAGGCCCGGTGTTCGGCCCGGACCCGGGAAAAGCCTGGTCCTGGCCCGGGTCCAGGTTGGTTTGGCGAAACCCGCCCCGGGCCTGCCCCAAATTTGGACCCGGTCAACGGGCAAAAAAATGGCCGTTTGATTAGACGACCTGGACCCGGCCCGGTCCAATGAGCAAAAAAATGCCCGTTGGACCTGGCGACCTGGACCCGGCCCGGTTCGAGCTGAGAAAATAGCCAATAATGATTATATCTAGTCATTTGACCAAAATACTCCTAAAACGGTCAAAAAATGACCAAATTTTGAGGGCATTTTTATCATTTGGCTAGGGGTTGTCTCTATAAATAGTGGGGGCTTTCATTTAATTTTCCCATCCCAAACTCATCTACTTCTCTTTAATACTCTCTAATACCCTCTTATTCTCTCTTATACTCTTTAATCCTCTAATTCCAATGGCTTCCTCCTCCAATTATAAAGTGCATATTTTGAATCCCAACGCCGAAATAAGTTCTACTACTCTTACAGATACTCCTCTTACCACCGATGTTCATTCTGAATCGAGTGACAATCATCCAACACCTAGAGCTTCTAAAAGACCGAGATTCGATGTGTGAAATTTTTTTTAAGAAGATAAAAGTCATCAGGGATCAACATGGCAAACTTCTCACCCAGATGGCCAAAAATGCTATGTGAAGCCTCAAATGCCATTTGAAGTTCATCATAAGAGCAAGATCCACCACCTCAAATGCCATTTGAAAAAAATACAACAGAACTCAAGCAGCAACGTCTCAAGAAGACATCCGCTAATCTCTTCTCTCTCAATCATCTACCTTCGGTAGCCTCGGTTCCTGGAACTACGATGCAATTAAAGCCAGGAAATACGTCATTAGATTTATTGTTCTTAAAAAATTTTCTTTTAAATTAATAGAAGATGGTGAGTTTAAGGATATAATTAAAGATAGTCTTTATCTAGTAGTTTTCAAAAAAATTCTCATCAATCTTATTTACATGATATTTTGAAATATTATTACGAGAAACAAACTTAATAATTTCTTATTTCAAAGTTTAAACTATAAATTTCTTCTAACTTCTGGTATTTTGACATCTAGAACACAAACTAGTTATTTATGTATCGCAGTACATTGGATTGATGACACTTGGTAAATATTTAAAAGAGTTGTTTCTTTTATTATATTTGAAGATTTATACACTGATGCTAATGTTGTAAATTTAATAATGGAAGAACTTTTAAAATCATAAATTTTTGAAAACATAATTTCTCTTTCACTAGATAATGCAAGTAATAATAATGTAGTTGTAGATCATACCAAATCATCTTTGCTATTGCAATGTCAGGGTGATAATTTTCATATTAGATGCATGTGTCATATTTTAAATTTAATTGTTGAAAGTGCATTTAATAAAATTAAACTCATGATAGAAAAGGTTAGGGTTATAGTTTATGCTCATAATGCTTTTGAACAAAGATTTAAAAGATGAAAACAATTGTGTAAAAGAAAAAAAATTAAAAGTCAACTTGATTCCAAAAGATGTTGACCACAGGTAAAATTCCACTTATGCAATATTAAATGTAGCAATAGTGTACAAAGAATTGTAAATGATTTTGTTATTTTTTTATGCTTCTAGTTCTAGCTCTGGTAGCATGTATAGAATAATTGGTGATGAATTGATAATTATATGTAGTGTAAAAGAGATGCTACAAGTTTTTTTTATAAAACTACTTGTTATTATTTAGTTGTTATTGTGCATCTATTACTCGAGCTGTTTTACAAGTTTTAAGTATTCAAACTTTTTTTACTACTCATCACATGGATAATTACTTTGGAAACATAATTTTCGAAAGGAAAGTAAATTTAATGAGTATTTTAGACTTATTCTAATTATTTTTAGTTTGGGGATTCTCATTAATTGATTCATGCTTAAAGGACATTGGCCTTCAAAGTTTGTTAAATTCTTTATATGAGAACATGATAATAGACACTAAAGATGGTCAGACTATTACTGATCTTACTCATCATAACACTATTAAATATTATTTTTAAAGAGTATTTGATAAATATGCATGTAGATATGGTGTAAGTACACCTCAACCTGCAACTTCTACAAGCTCAAAACCGGACAAAGGTAAAATTTTTGACAGTTAATCAATGATAGCGAGGCTAACTGGTAGTAGCCATGGATATGGATCTGGATCACCATAAAGAAAATTTTCTAAAATTGAACAATATTTAACTGCACCTTTAGTTAATTCTCAAAAAATGTTGATTTGGATTTATTACAATGGTGGAAAGTATATGGAACAGTTTCATATCTTATACTTTCCACCATGGTTCATTACTTACTAACAATGTAGATTTTTACAGTAGCTTCGGAATCCGCCTTCAGCATGCAATAGGACATTTAATCGACGCCCACAGAACATCGCTAGATTGGTTTACAACACATGCGGTAATGTGCCTATAAGATTGGTGGAGGTCCGAGAAGAGAACTCAATGCATTGACTGAATATCTAATATCAAAGATAGACTTAATGAGTTGACGATAGAAGATATAGAGTAGAAAGTAGTTTGCAATTTTTTATTTTTTAGCTGTAAATCTATGATAAATTATTTTGGAAAGAGTTACAAATAATAGTGATTTAGATGAGTAGGTGCCAACCTAGTTGGGATGTATTCATCTATTATGATAGGACAATTTTAAAATATATATATAATTGTTAGTGATTAATAATAAAGAATTTATTTTTTATCATTTTAATTTCTATGGTAATTGTAAATTGTATAATTATAAGTAATTAATAATATGATTGAATTTTTATTAAAATTTTGCATATTTTAATTAGTCTTGAGATTCCATATTCTTTTTGCAAAAAAACTAATTTTAAATTTTTTTGCAAAAAAATAAAAATAAAAAAATCCGGGCCAGCGTATGTTGTGCGCAGCAGAAATTTTGGCAGCACCTCCGGTGCGCAAGGTGCACAACAAGAGATTAGATCACAACGGAAATCCTGTTTCACAAAGGAAACAATAACCGAAAGCAAAATAACTCAACAAAGTGAGATATCAGCTCTTCCTCTCATCAGTTCTAGGACTGACTTGTCGAGGGAACCTACAAGCTATACAAATCACGGTAAGAACACAGATTTTACATGGTTCGGCAAATTGCCTACGTCCACGGGGCAAGGAGAGGGAGATCTACTATTAGAGGGAGAGATACAACTAGGGTTTACAATCTCACAAACTAAACCCTCTCACAAACTCTCAGATCCCTCACACAAATACTCTCTCAAAATGGGATGCACAAAACCCTAGAACAAATGCACAAAACTCCTCTTCAAAACAGTCGAAAAAACAATCTGGTTCCCCCCCCCCCCCCCCTTGTTTTTGTTGCACCCTGCCTTTGCCACCTGCTCCTTGTACTGATGCAGGCCAATGATTTCCTCTGCTGCGCCCTGTTCAGGCCCACCCTTGCCTAAAATGAAACCTAGCCGACAGTTGTTATTTATAGCGCACGAAGACGCGTCTCGTTGATTCACGAGAGCGTGTAGGCTCGAAACGAGCAGCCCATGATCCCCTCACGGCATTAAAACCTATTTGATTGGCCGCCAGCGTGTTCGTGCCCCACGTCCCCAAAGTTTTGCTTCCCGCTGAACTTCTCCGTGTTTGTGGATACATCACTTGGGTGTGGCCAAGTGCCATTTTTGGGCCCCCACGTCCACTCACAGCGTAGGCCCGGCCCGATCTGGCTCGGTCTGGAGCCTCTCTGGGCCACCCATTTTCCTTGGCCGGACCCAGATTCCTGGATCGACCCGTTTTGACAAGCCTAAGGATATGTTCAGTTAGAAATAGCATGTTTTGCCTTTGGACCTTTTTGTGTGGCGGTAACATTCAACCAAGCATCTATATTTAAATATGAGTAGAGTTGAAATAATTTCAATCGGACCCACATTTTTGAAGGAATTTCAAAGGAATCCACATAAACAAACAGTACGGATTGCTCTTTGAAAGGGTGAAGCTAAAAAACAATATCTCACTGCATAGTCCTCATCTGAAGATATATATAGAGAATAAAGGAAGAAAGAAACAACTAACTGTTCTCTGATGTATGCACACTTATTTCAAAACCTTTTGCTGGTCTAAATCCTAGTCAGCCTCAGCTGATTGCATGTCCTTTTTAATTCCCTTAAGGGCCTGTTTGTTTCGGCCAAAAAATGCCGAAAATGAGGGAAAATGGCCTTTGGGAAAACTGACACAGGATAAATTTGGCACTTCCCCTCACAATCGGGTGTTTGCTTCGTTAAAAAGAAAAAAGAAAGTGGAGGAACGTGCGGGCTTTCTGACGGAATTCTCGCCCTTCCATTTTCCGCTCGAAACCGCCTGATTACAGCGGAAAATGCCTCTTTGTTCTCTCCCGTACAAAAATCTCTGGTTACAGCGGAAAACGCCACTCGTTCTGGTTACCCCTCTCTCCCGCTCCCGCCCCTCTCTCCCGCTCCCGCCCTTCTCTCTCTCCCGCTCTCCGATTGCTGTC